CCCCCCCCCCCTCCATACTGGATCTAGCTGTTCTAAATAACTGTCCTTCTGAGAGGGCCCAGTATTTTCTTCATTTCATCCTGTTTCCCATGATGAAAATAAATATTATCCTGTGCCCCCTAAATTTATTGTGGACCCCTGCTGATGCTGTTTAACCCTTGAGTATAGCAGTTAAAGATGCGGTATAGTCCGATCTGCGCATGTGCACAAAGGAGCCCTCTTTTTATTTACAAACAGTTTATTTAGGTTTTTATTTCATTTTATGTTCTTGCAAAGCTTGATTGTCTCTTCTTAATTTATTTTACTCTAGAATCAAGAAAATATAAATAGTTGTCGAATAAAATTCAATATTTTAGATACTGAAATGTAAACAAAGCCTTTGTTTACATACAGACTGTACCGCATCTTTAACTATTTATTATTTTACTCTGTCTAATGCCAGACAATATTTTACTTAATACAAATCAAAACTCAAGGGGAAAGTGGTGCCAATCACTGGGTTAATCAGACTAGTTGACAGCTATTGTAGATGGAAATTTTCGAGTGGAAATTTATATACATTTATTAGACCTAACCAGGAACAGCTGCGAGAAATGCAACTTTAGGTCCCTGGCAGGCATGCGCAGCCGTTGCCACGTCCAACTTTGTAAAAATCCCAATGAAAGCTCAAAAAATCCCAAGATTCCGTGTTTTTTCACAAAAAATCCCAAGATCCACTTTCATTCCCAGGCCTCTCACTAGTGAACCTATTTCAACCTGATATTTCTCCCTGATCTATATATATATATATATATATATATATATATATATATATATATATATATATATATATATATATATATATATATATATATATATATATATATATATATATATATATATATATATAGATCAGGGAGAAATCAGCATATTTTATGGCATAAAAGCCAAAAAACTCTTTTTTCACCGTTTCACGCCTTTTTCGGAATTCGGAAATTGTAATTTTGGTCATGTGGGCTTAAATTCCATACGATATACTTTATATAATATATAAATGAAGAGATTGTACAACTACAGTCAGTGGAATACTATTAGTTTGTTAACTCTTTATCGACAGGTCCCAAGGTTGGAAGATTTTTTATTTTAGTTTGTTAACTATTAATATATCAGTAAAATTTAATTATTTTTCTTGACTGTTTCTTAAAAATCCCAAGAAAAATCCCAAGGTCTCATTTCTCAAAATAAAATCTCAAAAATATCCCAACCGCTTCAAAAAATCCCAAGATCTTGGGATAAAATCCCAAGGCTGGCAACGCTGCTGGCAGGAATCGAACATGCGCCTTTAATAATTGGGATAAAATCAATAAAAATATTTGATAAAGAATCAATGATATAATAATAGAAGAAATTAGCGCACGTTTTCCGGTTTTTGTGAATATCACTTGGTTATCGATTTGGAGCGATTATAGAATACCCGGCCACTTTTGAAGTTTGATAGTGTTTGCTTTTGGGGGATACGGGGATACGCAGTCATTAAAATGACGTAATTATTCGAGTAGTTTAAGAGGAGAATGGGTAACTATTATTTTTCAATGATACGGGGATACGGGGATACGCAGTCATTAAAATGACGTAATTATTCTAGTAGTTTAAGAGGAGAATGGGTAACTATCATTTTTCAATGATACGGGGATACGGGGATACGCAGTCATTAAAATGACGTAATTATTCGAGTAGTTTAAGAGGAGAATGGGTAACTATTATTTTTCAATGATACGGGGATACGGGGATACGCAGTCATTAAAATGACGTAATTATTCGAGTAGTTTAAGAGGAGAATGGGTAACTATCATTTTTCAATGATACGGGGATACGGGGATACGCAGTCATTAAAATGACGTAATTATTCGAGTAGTTTAAAAGGAGAATGGGTAACTATTATTTTTTAATGATACGGGGATACGCAGTCATTAAAATGATGTAATTATTCCGAGTAGTTTAAGAGGAGAATGGGTAACTATTATTTTTCAATGATACGGGGATACGCAGTCATTAAAATGACGTAATTATTCGAGTAGTTTAAGAGGAGAATGGGTAACTATCATTTTTCAATGATACGGGGATACGCAGTCATTAAAATGACGTAATTATTCCGAGTAGTTTAAGAGGAGAATGGGTAACTATTATTTTTCAATGATACGGGGATACGGGGATACGCAGTCATTAAAATGACGTAATTATTCGAGTAGTTTAAAAGGAGAATGGGTAACTATTATTTTTCAATGATACGGGGATACGGGGATACGCAGTCATTAAAATGACGTAATTATTTGAGTAGTTTAAAAGGAGAATGGGTAACTATTATTTTTCAATGATACGGGGATACGGGGATACGCAGTCATTAAAATGACGTAATTATTCGAGTAGTTTAAGAGGAGAATGGGTAACTATTATTTTTCAATGATACGGGGATACGGGGATACGCAGTCATTAAAATGACGTAATTATTTGAGTAGTTTAAGAGGAGAATGGGTAACTATTATTTTTCAATGATACGGGGATACGCAGTCATTAAAATGACGTAATTATTCGAGTAGTTTAAAAGGAGATTTATACTAATGAGTAATATTTTGTGCAGGGTTTAGTTGAGAACGTGAGAAATACAATATATGAGTAATATTTCGTGCGGGGTTTATTGAGAACGAGAACTACGATATATGAGTAATATTTTGTGCGGGGTTTATTGAGAACGAGAATTACAATATATGAGTAATATTTTGTGCGCGGTTTAGTTGAGAACGTGAGGAATACAATATATGAGTAATATTTTGTGCGGGGTTTATTGAGAACGAGAAATACAATATATGAGTAATATTTTGTGCGGGGTTTATTGAGAACGAGAAATACAATATATGAGTAACATTTTGTGCGGGGTTTATTGAGAACGAGAAATACAATATATGAGTAATATTTTGTGCGCGGTTTAGTTGAGAACGTGAGGAATACAATATATGAGTAATGTTTTGTGCGGGGTATATTGAGAACGAGAAATACAATATATGAGTAATATTTTGTGCAGGGTTTAGTTGAGAACGTGAGAAATACAATATATGAGTAATATTTTGTGCGGGGTATATTGAGAACGAGAAATACAATATATGAGTAATATTTTGTGCGGGGTTTATTGAGAACGAGAAATACAATATATGAGTAATATTTTGTGCGGGGTTTATTGAGAACGAGAAATACAATATATGAGTAACATTTTGTGCGGGGTTTATTGAGAACGAGAAATACAATATATGAGTAATATTTTGTGCGCGGTTTAGTTGAGAACGTGAGGAATATAATATATGAGTAATGTTTTGTGCGGGGTATATTGAGAACGAGAAATACAATATATGAGTAATATTTTGTGCGGGGTTTATTGAGAACGAGAACTACAATATACGAGTAATATTTTGTGCGGGGTTTATTGAGAACGAGAAATACAATATATGAGTAATATTTTGTGTGGGGTTTATTGAGAAGGAGAAACACAATGTACGAGTAATATTTTGTGCGGGATTTATTGAGAACGAGAAATACAATATATGAGTAATATTTTGTGCGGGGTTTATTGAGAACGAGAAATAAAATATATATAGGAGTAATATTTTGTGCGGGGTTTATTAAGAACGAGAAATACAATATATTTATAACCCTTTATTATTGAAAATATAGATTAATTATTTGATTAACGATTCCCCGTTTATTTTGATACCGAAACATTAGAATAATTACGTAATTTCATTCACTGCGTATCACCGTATCCCCGTATCATTGAAACTTAATATTTACCCAAACACTCGAATAATTACGTCATTTCATTCACTGCGTATCACCGTATCCCCCCAAAATAAACAGTATCGGAAATGGACGGGTATTCTATAATCTAGCCAGACATCGTACTTCGCACAAAAACATCAAAATATCGTAGTAAAAGTTTGCTTTCCTGTCCGCCATTGCTTTCCTTTAGCTGTTGCTATGTTACCATGGGTTCTACCGCTTGTATTAGGAAGTTTGGGCTCATAAACAATGGTTAAATTGCGGGATT